CAGCGAGCGCGGCATCTTCCCCGAGCGTATCTCGCAGGGCTCCAGCGGCAGCTACTTCGTCAAGGACCCGCAGGGGGTGAGCCGGCCACCCCCGGGGCCCCCGAGGCCTGCGGGCTGAGCGGCGCTGGCCGGGAGGAGGGCACGCCCGGGGGAACTGGTGGTGTTGGCCCGAGGGTGACCGGCCCTGAGGAGCTGGTGGGAGCGGCTGGAGCTGTCCTGGGCTTTTCCAGGGGACAAGTGCAGTGGAACCGGTAGTGGGAGTGGGGAACAGTTGTGTCCAAGTGCTGCCTCAGCCTCTTCTGCGGCTTTTCTGTGCCCGAAGAGGAAGGGTCACTTTCTCCCCCAGGCCTGTGCATTGGCATCTCCTGACCATAGTGACTCCAGCTGTAGGGCTTGCGACTCTGAAAACTGAACTGGTTTTTGGCCTGTGAGACTGGAGTGATATGTCTCCTCTGTGGCTGCGTGGTTATATCAACCAAGGCAAATTCCTTGTCAAATAGGTGGTCCCCTACAGATGTGTTCAGCTGTGTGGCAGCTATCTCCACGCCACTGACGGTATGTGTGTGCAGCACAAGGCAGATTGTCTTGTGACTTGCAGCACCCAGCCCAATTACTTGAGCTGTGGCTGCTTCCTGTGACTCCCTCACCATGTATGTGCTGGGATGCTTCCTGGGAAGTGGGATTGGGTGCTCTGGTGTGCCCTAGTTTTCCTTCCCCGGGTGGAGCCTGGCTCCTGGGAGCTGGGTGAGCAGGACCCAGCAGAGCTGTCGGGCTGTGGGGCAATACACACTTCCTCCTGCCATCTTCCTGCTCCCCCGCATTCATCAATAGGGGATGTGATGTTGCTGGAGTGGGCAGCTCGGTGAGCTGCCTGGGGGTGGCAGGGCAGAGGCTGCCTGGCTGTAACAGACCCAAGCTTGTCAAGGGCTCGTGGCAGGATATGTGTGAGGAGCCAAAGTCCATGTGCTCCTGGCCATGTCACCTGGCAGGTCCCCTGGACTGCCCCTGCTGTCAGTAAATTTGATGTCTGTCTGGTTTCTGTGGCTGCTACCCAGGGTCACCAAAACCTCCCAGCTGTTATCACAGGTGAGAGTGCAGTGTGCCACTGTTGCAGGCAGGAGTTGAGGGCATTGGGAGAAAAACTCTTCTCTAGTGTCTGCTTCCCTCTGGGCTCTGGGGCTCAAGCTGTCCACATGGAATGTGCTTTTCCAGCCCCAATGGCTGTGGCTATCCCAACTGCCAGCTGCATCTCCAGGCCGGCCTGGCTCCCTCTGCCTCACTGCTGGCACCAGGCAGACCTGTTTTCCCTGCCAGAGCTGCTTCTGGCACAGGTCTGTCTGGAAGGGGGTGCTGTGCTGCCAGGCTTCTGGCCTCTGCTGCCCACACTGTCCCTACCTGGCTGGGCTTGGCTCCACAGAGCACAGGGCTCTGTGCTGCCAGAGCTCCCAACAAGCCTTTTGCAGGCTCATATCCAAGGAAGTGTTGGCAGTCATGTGCCTTCACGTGGGGCTAATGAGGGGATTGCCCTCCTATGTGCTCAGGGGAAGTGGCTCTTCTCTGTGTTCTGGGGTTGATCAAAATGGTCCTGTTCCCTCAAACCTTTCCTCTCCCTCTTTCTGGTGGACAAAACCTTGCTCCTGCTTGCCCTGGGCTGGCTTCTGTCCCCTGGCAGACTGGAATTGCACTGGGGTTTCCCACTGAGGTGCTAGGATTCATGTCCCAATTCCATGTTGTGGCAGGAGCTTGGCTTGGGGAAGTGCCACCCACTCAGGCCAGGGCCAGCACAAGCCATGGGGAGGAGGCTGATCATGTGTGCTGCTGAGTCACCCCGGAGCAGGGGCTGCCAGCCCCAAGCTGCTGCACAGCCCCCTGGAGATGCCTGGCGGACAGGGGGCTTTTCTCCTGCCCCAGCCCTTGTCTCAGCTGGGTGGCTTGGCAGTGCTGGGTTGGTGGCAGTGCAGCTTCTGCGCCCTCTGCAGCGGTGGGTTACCTGTGCTGTTGTTCCTGCTGTTAGGTTGATGTGTGTGAGGCTGGATTGAGGGGCTGGGGGTGCTGCTGCTGTTGCCAGCTGGTGGCCAGTTTGGAGCTTCCTGAGCCCTCTTGCACACAGTGTACCCAGAGAACTGGCCTCTCTGCTGTCTCTAGCTGGGCCACCCAGCACAGAGCCCTGGGCTCCTCAGGGGTTCTCCAGCTGCTCAGCTGTTCTGGTCCCATTTCCTCTGGGATCAGCTCCATTCAGTGGATTTTGGAGCCAGGGCAAGGATTGCTATCCCCCTCCCTCTCCTCTATGGCATAATGAGCAGTAGTGAGCAGTAGCTCTCCCAAAGATGACTGGGATGTTTGCCAGGGAATAGCATCATCACTGGTGTCTTTTGGGACAAGGAGGGTCGTTTCCAGGTGCATGAGCTGGGTATGAAGGTCTTCAGGCAGCACCCTGCACTCGTGGAACAAGGCACTGTCTGGGGAAGGGTCCCTCTCAACCCCTACCTGCCTCCCTTCTGGGATCTGTGAGGTCTGCCTTGTCCCAGGAGGTGGTTATTGGCCTGGTGAGAGGCTGTTCTGGGCCCGTCCCTGAGTGTTCCCACTGCAGGCTGGTTTGGGTGGGGAGTATCTCGACTCTGCCAACTGCCTTGAGTCAGCCCCTCTCTCTCCCACTCACAGAAAATCATTGGTGTCTTCAAGCCCAAGAATGAGGAGCCGTATGGACAGCTGAACCCCAAGTGGACCAAGTGGCTGCAGAAATTGTGCTGCCCATGCTGCTTTGGGAGAGACTGCCTTGTCCTCAACCAGGGCTATTTGTCGGAGGCAGGTGCCAGCCTGGTGGACCAGAAACTGGAACTCAACATTGTTCCCCGCACAAAGGTGAGGGGACAGCTGCTGGGATCTTGTCCTGGGAAGGCTTTGATGTGCTCCTGCACAGCTCTGCACCTTGTCTTGTGGCACTGCTGACCTCAGAGATGTTGTGTTGAGAGCTCTGGACCAGTACTGCTCCTGCTCAAGCCATGGAAATCCTTGTGCTGGGCAGAGCTGTGGGAAATCCTGTATCTTGGTTTTATCAGCCAATCCTGTGACAGTTGCCAGGTGCCCCTGCTGACGTCTGTGCTCCTGTTCCCCCAGGTGGTGTATCTGGCCAGCGAGACCTTTAACTACAGCGCTATTGACAGGGTAAAGTCCCGAGGAAAGAGGTTGGCACTGGAGAAGGTGCCGAAAGTGGGCCAGCGCTTCAACCGCATTGGTCTGCCGCCCAAGGTAGGGCTGCCAGCCTCCGCGCCTGCCTGTCACCGCTTCTCCATCCTCTGCAGCCTCCTGTAATGCAGCCTCTCCTTGCTTCAGGTGGGTTCCTTCCAGCTTTTTGTGGAAGGCTACAAGGATGCTGACTACTGGCTGCGGCGGTTTGAAGCTGAGCCACTCCCAGAGAACACCAACCGGCAGCTTCTGCTGCAGTTCGAGCGGCTGGTGGTGCTGGACTACATCATCAGGAACACAGGTAGGGCTGGCTGCCTGGCATGGGCCACTGCAGGACAGGGGCTTGCCATCTCTTTCTAGCACCCTAAACTCCTCTCACTACTACTTAGTTGCTGCCAGGTGGTAGCTGCCCCTGGATAGAGTGCAGCTACTGTGACTGAACACCACTGTGGCTGTGCTCTGGCTGCTGGCCTGCCTTGTGGGGGATCTGGATCCACCACGGTGCTGGGATGAAAGTGCCAGATACAAGGATCAAGGGACATCTGAAAATCCAGCACCTGACTGTGTCCCTATATCCCATCTCATGCTGGGCTTCTGAGTTCCTGCCGGGCTGGAAGGGGTTGGGGTAGCACTCTGGGACTTGCAGGCTGGCCTTTCTCTTGCGAGCTGGGGATATGTGGATGTCTCCAGTCTCCAGGGCTGGTTGTGTGGGTTTGATGAGGATTCCCAGGTGTGCAGAAAGCTCGAGGGATCTAGGGTAGAGTTTGAGCCTAAAACTGCTCTATCTTGCTTCTGGGTCAGAGTAGGAGTAATCCTCTGCCTGGCGTGGGGCAGGCATGCCCTAGCACTGACACAGCTGGTTTTATCTCCCTGCAGATCGGGGCAATGACAACTGGCTCATCAAGTATGACTGTCCCCTGGACAGTGCAGGTGTGCGGGTGAGTGTCTCTTTCCAGGTGGGTCCTCTGCTCCTGCAAGCTGTGAATTTCCCAGCTGGCTTGGGTTTCTGAGCATGCTGGGGCCTGATCTTGTCTCCCGGGCCTTTTGTTGCCTTTTGTGTTTGTGGTTTGTGGCCTAGTGGGACTTTGAGGATGTAACAGGGCTCTGTGGGGGGGAAACTGGTGTTACTGGTGGCAGGGAGTGGGAGAGGGACTGTTCCTGCCTCCCTGAGAGAGAGGGGCCTCCTTGTGACATGTTCTACTTCCTTCCAGGACAGTGACTGGGTGGTGGTAAAGGAGCCCATCATCAAGCTGGCTGCTATAGACAACGGTTTGGCCTTTCCCTTGAAACACCCGGACTCCTGGAGAGCATGTGAGTCCCTCAGGCTGTGCCAGGGCACCTTGACAAGCCATACAACTCTGTGTTTGGGCATCTTCCTTGAGAGCTGGAGAGAAGAGGGCTAGGGCTGTCTCTTCTGGGTTCATGGGCAACTCTGCCTCAGCAGAGGCTGTGGGAAGTAGGTGCTGGACCTGGTGTCTCAGACACAGGTGATCCGATACCCAGGGACATGTGGCACCATCCTTTGCCTTCCCCAGCTCTAATGTCTCCTGCTTCCTCTCACAGATCCATTCTACTGGGCATGGCTGCCCCAGGCCAAAATCCCCTTTTCACAGGAGATCAAGGACCTGATTCTCCCCAAGATCTCAGATCCCAACTTTGTCAAGGATCTGGAAGAAGATCTGTATGAGCTTTTCAAGGTGAGCTGGGGGAGCAGGTAAGGATGGCTTGGGAGGAAGAAAAATGGTGGGGGGGGAGCTCCCAGTCAAGGCTGCAGGGGCCAGAAAGGTGGCCAAGCTCCTGACAGTGTTTCTGAGCTATGGCAGGGTTATCTCTCTGCCAGGAGCTAAAGATTCAGTGTGGGGAGAAGCAGGAAACCTGTGGGACGGGAGGAGAGGCTTGCTTGGGGAATAGGCATCTTGCATGGCATGGAGCAGCAGGTGGATCCCACTGTTTTCTGCTTTCTCTTGCAGAAAGACCCTGGCTTTGACAGGGGACAGTTTCACAAGCAGATTGCTGTCATGAGAGGCCAGGTAAGCTGTGTGTAGGAAAGGCAGATGGATGAGGTACAGACCCTTGTCCTCCCTGTGTGGTAGGAAGGGTGCTGGGGTGGATGCTCTCTTTCCCTGGCGGAGCAGCTCAGGCATTGCTCTGTTGTGCCATACAGATCCTGAACCTGACTCAGGCACTGAAAGATGGGAAGAGCCCCCTGCACCTGGTTCAGATGCCACCTGTGATTGTGGAAACAGCACGTTCCCACCAGCGCACTGCCAGTGAGTCCTACACGCAGAGCTTCCAGAGCCGGAAGCCTTTCTTCTCATGGTGGTAGCTGTGAGAGCAGTGGGCAGGGCTTGGCCGCCTCGGACTAGCACTGCGAGAGGAGCTGGGCCACCGCTGGCTCCTGTGGCTGGGACTCGACCTTCTGGGTCCAGAGCAAGCAGGTGTGGCTGGAGGAACCTGCAGCTGAACTGGAAGAGCCAGGCAGGCTGGGCACTGTCCCTCCCCAGCTCTGTTGGAGCTTGGTGTCCTGCCTGGGGCAGAGCCCAGGGGCAGGTGCAGGAATCTGCTGGGAGCTGTGGCATGGCTGGGACCCTGCCCTGCCCCCCTTCCTTGGCCTGCATGCAGTTCTTAGCACCCCTGCATGGGGCTGAGATGAGGAGGCTGCCGGGGCTGGGATCCATCCAGCCCTTTACACCAGCCACTGGTACTTTTCTTCCCTGCTGTGCTGGCTGCTGGGCTGGGAAGGCCTGTAGCGGGTTATACCCCCATCCCTTTGCCCAAGGGTGTGCTGTACTCCTCCAGTGTCCCTCCTCTGCCCCAACCCCGTGCACGCTGCTTTCCTCAGGGGGAGTTCCTGCTGCCTGCTGGCACAGCAGGGACCACAATGAATGGCTGTTCTCTGGCTGGGGGCTTGAGGAGGGGATGTATGAGGGACAACTCACAAGGCTGGCTTGGGTGCAGTTAGACACTAAGGGGAGAGAGGTCCTAGCTGGCTTGTCCTTGTGAAGAGCAGGTGGCTCTGGGAGGGGCTTGGAGTCCTTCCCCCCCAAGTTGGAGAGGCCCTCTCTCCCTTTGCTGCCCCAGTCCATCCCTCCTGCCAGGTCTCCACGGCTGCTCTTGCTTGGCTTTTGCCCCTGCTCCCAGCAAGCTCCCTGGCTGCTGTGCAGCCAGCATCGTGCCAGCCTTGTCTGTGCCTAGGCTCCCCCCCGAGGGGCAGGGGCTGCTGGCAAAGGGCTGCGGTGGCTCTTCTGCTGCATGGGTGGGAGGTGTGATGGGAGCATGGCAGGGGGACAGCATGGGCTCCTGGCTGCCCTGGTGCTGACAATCCCACAGGCCTGTGGGGGGGGGTGGGGTGAGGCAGCCAGCTCTTCTCTCCCCAGAAGCCCCTGTGCTAGTGTTTTTTGAAATGGTACCAGGGCTGCTGCCTGCATCTGCTTGCCTTGAGCTGCGGCTTCTCCTGCTGCTGGGGGAAGCTAGTGTTGGGTCTCACTGTCCTGTTAGCCCATCTTTGGGGGGGTGGGGGGTGGGGTGGAAGTGAAGGCAGGTTGGGGCTCTACTGCTTGAGCCTGGGAGGGGAGAGCAGCTCCCTTGTCTCCTGTACAGGGAAGGGGCTCAGCCCTGGCTGTGGAAGCACGGGGTAGGCAGCAGTGAGATCCCAGCTCCCTGGCCAGGCCCAGCTGCATCTCCAACTGATCCCAAACTTACTGTTCTAATGCACTGTAGAAATGTATGTAATGTATTTAAACCATACAACTGTCTGAACAACAGTGCTGCTGTCCACCTCTGTGTCTCTGCAGCACCCTACAGCAGAGGGCCTGGACCAAGGTCCTGCTGCACCGGGGGAGGGCTGGGGGTTGGCAGGACACAGCCAGAGCCACGCAGCCACCGCTGTCTGCCTTTTATTAACCACTGCACCCTGTCCAGTACACGAAGTGTCCTCAGCCCGGCTGTCCCTTTGCCTGCCATCCAGCAGCCCTGTTCCTCGCGGCCCGGCCACTCCGCGCCGCTACATGGACCCCGAGGGTGTTTCAGCCCCGCGGCCGCCCTCCGGCTCCTCCTCCGCGATCCTGCAAGGAAGAGGCGTGTGTGAGCGGCGCCGCCTGGCCGCGCTTCCCCCGGTTTCCCCGCGCCCCGGCCCGCACCTACCGCAGGCGGCTGAAGCGCC